GCTACTACTTCTTTCTTTTCTTTCTCTGAGAAGTTCTTTATGAATAGATAGTTAGCTCTACTGTCTATCTTTATTAGTTCAACTAGTATATCAGTTAGAAGCAGTTTAGAGCTTCTCACTTTATATGTTAAATTTTTTTCTCAAGACTTCTTATGAATTGTATTATATAGTCAATAATAATTTCTAAACTTGCATTCTGTTTTTGATATGATAGATGCTTTATGATTAACTTCTTTTTTTTTTGTCTTCTCTAATCTTTTTTTTTTTTTCTTAGAGTAGATGCTTTTCTGTAAAGTTTTTATCCTATGCTCTGTATTGACTAGTATTTCTTCTTCATTTAAGATGAATTTTATTAAACTTTTCTAATCTTGTTTAGTTTTCTTTCTCAGTCTAAAGACTTTTGTACTACTTCTTTTGTAAACTTCTAGCTTTTCTTAGTTTATTGTTTTCTTGTTTTTTAATTCAGCTTCTTGTTTTGTTATATTTGCTCACCTAAGCTTATTATCATAATAAGACATTAGAAATTTGAAACTATTCAACATATTTTCTTCTTTTTTGAAGTATACTATTATGCTTCTTATTATTTTTAGAGTTCTTAAAGATATATAGTGCTCTAACTTCTAATTTTTTTATTTGTCTCTAGAGTAGTACTTTATTTATATTTTCTAGTAAGTCTAGTAATTTATTGCTAAATTTATTTTTTGTACAGAGCAAGAAGTAGTTATTAGTACCTGTTAATATTCTTATTAGCAATTTATTCACAAAAGACAGATACCAAATCTTGCTTATTTTCCTTTTATCAAAAGTGTCTATTTTGAATTCTACTTCTGCTCTTGTTTTGTCTGAAGTACTTTTAATCATTTCAATATATTCTACTCTTTTTAAGAAGCAAACTGTTTCAAATATCTGTATTCTTCTTGCTTAGACTAGTAAGTCTCATACTGTTATCTTATTGTTATCATCTAGTAGACTTAAGTTTTTGTTTACTTAAAATAGTATAACTTCTTTCTTTTTAAAATGATTTAGTTCATATATATTAACTACTACTCTCTCTTTTCTTCTTAAGAAAACCTCTTTGAGTTTTTTTTCTGCTTGTTCATCTTTTTTTTTCTTGAATTCTTGAGCTAAGTTACTAGTGTTTAAGTTTTTTATTACTTTCTCTAAAATCTTTTTCTCTATGTCTTCTTCTAAGATTAGATTGGCTTGTTTATACTCTTCTTTTTTGTTTTCTAATTTTTGTTTTGCTTTTTCATATCCTTTTATATAGTTAAACATTACTATATATCAGAAATTTCTATTTTCAAATTTTTCAATAACTTTCTTTAAATAAATATTTCTTTTAATTAACTATCTTAGTAACCTTTTTCTGTGTTTTGAACTATTTTCAAGAACCTTAATAGCTGCAACTTTAGCTCTTAAAGTTCTTTTTTCTTTGCATCTATCTTTATTAGATACTCAAATACTTCTTTCTAGTGAAGAATCTGAGTTTGCAAGAAGTATATCATTTTCTAACTCTTCTGTAGTTACTTATTGATAGTTTAGACTTGTTGTATTACTTTCTCTTCTTATAGTTTCTTAAACTTCTTCCATCTGATTAAGTTTTTCTTTAGTATTTTTATCTACTAGTAATTAGTCATTTTCTAATTCTATCTCTTGATTTAATATGTTATTAATTGAGCTATCTGTTTTTGATTAATATACTATTTCTATGTCTGACTTGTTTTTTTGTAATTTGAATTCAATATCTATTTCTACTATATGTTTGTCTTCTTGTTCTAGTATAGTTTTGACTTTATCAATTCTCTCTATTATTGCTACTTTTTCTATTACTTTTCTCCATTCTCTAGCTACTGTTACTATATTACTATTTACTTCTAGTATTTCTGCTATTATTTTATCTATATAATCTTCTAGACCTATAACTGATTTGCTACTTTCTGCTATTATTTTTTTACTATATTCTTTGGTTACTACTTCTACAAGTCTAATTGCCTTCACTTTATTCTATATATCTGCTTGTTCTCTTTGTTCTTATTATTTTTATCTATACTATCTATTTTGTTTTCTGTTCTCTCCTTCTAATCTATGACTCTAGATATGATTTCTATAAGTGACTTCAGCTTTTTTAAAAATTCTCTAAAGTTTATCCTATCTGCCTATAAGTTGTCTAGTTTTGGTCTTGTATAATTTATCTATAGTATTTAGCATATAATACATAAGTTTAGTAATATATTTGTTTGTTTATTTGGTTTATATGTATTTGTATTATGTAGAATAATCTGTATTTTGAAGTATTTTGAATTTCTAATTTTTCTTTAAAAAAAGGTTTTTTGTAGCAAATTTTTGCTTGAATTTCTTCTAAAGTTCTTATTTGAAGTAGAGTTTTTCTATTTTTCTACTTTTTTATATATATTTTTCTTTCTGTTCTTCTTTTGTTAGTAACTTTGGAATCTGTTTTTAGTACTGTTTTCTAGTTTTTTAACTTTTTCTTCTGCTTTAGAAATAGTCAGAATGATCAACAGAAAGAGTTTTTTATTTATTGTATTGAGTTAAGATTATTAGAATTAATATTTTGTTATATATTTAGATTTTGCCTTAGTTTTCATTCTGAGAATTGTTTGTTTTGTTGTACTCTAAATATATCATAAGAGTTTTCTACTTGAGATATAGATTCTATAATAAGTATAGAAATTTAGTTTGTTTTATTTATATATCTTTGTTTTATACTAGGCATATAACTTGAGTTTGTTGTTTTTTTAGAGTAGAGATATGTTCTATATAACTATAAATATTAAAGTAGAATTACTACTTTTTTTATCTATATTTTTTTTTTGTATTAAGAAGAGAATGATAATATTTAGTTAGTAGTATTATAGCTAGTTAAAGATTTAGTATTTGATACTTTTAGATATTTTTTTATTTTTATATCTTTTTGTTAGTCTAAGCTTAGATTGGTTCACTTGTTTGAATTTTTATAGGAGTTTCAGATGTTGCTGATATTATTAGCAATAGTTTGTTAAAAAGTAGTAGTATAGTAAGAGTTTTGTAATAGTTTCTTTTAATCTTGTTTGTCTTATAGATAGATATAATATATTATATATTTGTATACTACATTTTTAATTATTTAATTATTTAGTTTTAGTTATTTTTGAACTTATTTTTGTAATATATTTATTTTTTTTATTGTTTTAAGATCTGTGAAAAAGAGTTCAAAATTTTAGGAGGTATAAAATAAGTTTTATATATTTTATTTTATTATTTTATTATTAGTATTTTATTATTATAAATAATTTTTTTTTTTTACTTAGGTGATTTTGCCTATCATTTTATTAAGAATAAGCTACTTTAAGCTACAAGTAAAATGCTATACTATTTACATCAAACTACTTTTCTAAAACTAATTAGAACTCATTTAGTTACTTTTTAGTACCTAAGTGTAAACTGCTGCAGCAACTATTTCTCTCATAAGAGTTTAAATTTGTATATACAAATTTCTAGCTCTTAGTCAACAAGAGGCTGCTACTAGCCTATATTATTATAAATAATTAATTTTTTAAATATATTTTATTTAACATTAATTTTTCAATAAACTTAATAGCTAAAAATAGATTTAAGTTAAACTATTAGATCTAGCTTAATAAGACCTTTTAATAAGCTATAAATTATAAGTATAAATATATAGTTATTAAGTTATCTTAGAAGCAATGTTAGAATAAATTATTTTTTCTACCTTTTTTACTTTTTTTACTTTTTCTCTACTTTTTCTATTTTTTCTACTTTTTTTATCTTTTTTACCTTTTCTAAAAAGCTATATAAACTCTTTCTTTTCTTTTTACTTCAGATTAGAGATTAGAACTAGTTTTAATAATTTGAATTTATTATATAAATTTTGTAATATTTTATAAATTTATTCAATTAAATTTTAATAAATTCTAAAATATCACAAAATTTATGTAATAAATCTGAATTATTAAAACTAGTTTTAATCTTTATTCTAGATTAAGTTTGTTTTCTACAATCTTCTTAATAATAGAATTCTCTTAGTATAAAAACTAATAGATAGTTTTGTATTATTAATATTATATTATAAATAAAGTATAATCTTTGCTCTTTTATAAACTTGTAATAAATTGCTACAGTAAAGTGATATTTTACTTAGATACTATTTGTATTATATTAAGAAAACTACATATTTGTAACAGTAGAATTAAATCAGCAAATTATAAATATAATTATATATTTACTATTATTTACTACTCTCTAAATCATTTTATTAATATTAATTAGTCAGTAAAAAAGCATAATTAATATTAAAAGTAGAGTATATTATTTTAAAATTATATATAAACTTGATAGCAAATATTTTTTGTAATTTAAAATACAAAATAATTTATTAATTAAATTTATTTTAAGCTTCTAAATAAAATTATAGAATAGATTTTTGTAATTCTATTAGTAATAAAATTATTAAAATTAGTTAAAAACTTATCAAAATATTAGAAATTAAAGATTTTATATAATTTATTTTATAAAACTACAAAAGTTAACTAATTAGAATAAGTTATTTTGTACTATCTAAACAAATTTGAGTTAACCTAAAAAAACTTCATAATATATAAAAGTACAAATTTTTTATAATTAATATACTTTAAAATTTAAAAAAAGATACTGTCTTCCTTCTCTATAATTACACAGTCTGTATTATGCAAATTGTGTAATTATATAAAGGTTTTTACTATGATATGCTTATAAAGGAGTATTTTTTTATAAGTTTATTAGTAAAATGTTGTAAACTTTAATGTGATTATAAAAAGGGTTTTAATATGATATAATTATAGAGGAGGTGATTATAGAGGAGTAAGACAGTATATTCTATTTTAATACATATATTAGTAAAAATTTTATAAATTTTTATTAAATTCTGAAAAAATTTTATTATATACATGAGTTTATTTTTTACCAAAATTAGAATTTACTATACAAATCATAATAAAAATGATCTACACCCTTAAATAATGCTAAGAAAAATTATATTATTTAATAAAGATTATAAAGGGTTGGTGAATATGGAAAATGTGTACATTGTAATAAAGACAACATGTCTAAAGCATGTGGTGTCTGACATGTGATCCTGACATCACTGCACAAAGATGGACAAGTAGAAAAAAAGATTTGATTGTATTAAGAAATCCAACTTAGAACAAAGGCATATTATGAAGTGATTAAATGGGTTCAATTTGATAGACTGAATAATATTCAAATAATTGGTAAAAGAGGATTTAGCTCTGTATATTCGGCAACCTGGTTAGATGGATTACGAAAAATTAATGGTGATAAATATAATTATTTAAGAACTCGTGAACCATCCAGCATCGTTGCACTCAAAACCTTGCCAAATTTTAAGGAAATGATTTTGATTTTTTGAAAGAAATAAGTTAATTCGTCACTTTATAATTATCTAATAATTTGTTGGACTAATTAATTCATTACATATTTATAAAGTTTAAAAATCTTATGTAATGCAAATTAAATTATAATAACAGATAAGCTTGAAATACAAAAACAAATGAAGACATGATGGTATTTCTGTACGCTAATGAAGGAAGTCTTCATAAATATTAAAGAAAATATTTTGGAGAACTTACATGGATGGCTAAATTACGATTACTTAAAATCATTTCATTAGAATTAAATAATATTCACAGATATGAGGGATATATTCATGCAGACTTTCACAGTGGTAATATCTTGCAAGACAAAAACGTCCTAATGAAAAAGTGCAATCTTATATCTCGGATCTAGGATTGTCAAGAAAGAAGGATGAAATTATTTCAGAAGGCAATATTTATGGTGCTATGCCCATGTTGCTCCAGGGGTTTTATTAGGCAAAGAATTTATACAAGCAACAGATATTTATGGTTTTGGTGTCAATCGAACAAAGACCTTTTAATGGATATGAATTTGATACAGAACTTGCAATAAAGATTTGTAGAAGAGTTCGACCAAAATTTACTCCTGAAACTCCTAACTGCTATATTGAATTAGCTATGTGATGCATGGATTCCGATCCACGGAAACGGCCTTCTGCTTATGTCATTTATAAAACAATTCCTAAATGGCTTACGAAAATAGCAAGAAAATGAAATTAAAAAGCAATTTTTAGATGCAGACAAAGTTATTAAAACGTTGCCAAAATCACAGCATCCAGATGAAATTATACTAGTAAAATTATTAGCACGAAAATAATTTCAAATGCGATTGAAGGTATTTATTTTTTCATTATTAATAATTTATCTTGCATTCATTATTTAAAATTGATATTTTTTGTTATTTATATTTGTCTCAAGCTGGTTCTGCTCAACTTAAACTTGAGATTAGTTAATTAAATAAAAATAATGTTTATTTAAGCGATTTACACTTCTCTATAATTAATTTTGATTGTTTCTTCTCATTAACGTTATTAAAATCTTGTTTGATCTATAGAAAACTTACACGAAATTTTATTTGCGCAAAGTTTTGTTAATAAATTGGATTTATATCAAAATTTAAAATAAAGCACACAAAGCAGTTTATAATCATAATACTTTTAAAGAATTTATTTGGAATTTACTAAAAATAAATTACAATTATTACAATTTATGTTTTACTTAATTTATATATAATTTGCAAATAATTCACCCTATCTTTAAAGTTTTTTTTTTAATATATTCTAAACTAATTGAATTCATCTACAACAAAAACAATATTTACCAAGTATTAATCTAATATACTATAGAATATAGTAATCAAAACTACTTATTGAATTAGCAATTATATACTCTTAGTTATATATATTGCTACAATATAAACAAATAGGAAGCAGAGGACTTTTGGAAATATTAAATATCAAATAGAAAAAAAATAGAAAAACTATCTTACTTAAAGCTCGTGATCCACCAGCCTGTTGTTAATGTTTTATTGACTCCAGAACAAGAAAGACATGATTTTGCAATTTTATTAGAAGTTCAAGAGACTTTTCTCAATGATGATACTCGCAATAAAGTAAAAGAGATACTTGTTTTCGGAGAAATACAGTAATATTTGATGATAATAAGAAATAGCATATATAAGAAAACAATTTGCCAAAATGCATTTATCTAATTTTTTTTTTTTTTATTGTGATATTCATTTTATGCTTCCCTTTGTAAAGAAATCCATCAAATTATTTGTTCTTTGTTTTCCTAAATGAAAACTTCTTTCTAGTCGGTGAAAATTCACCGAGCTTATGCCCAACCATTTCTTCAGTGACCGTAACTGGTATATAATCTTTACCATTATGTACTAAAAACTTCAGACCTACAAATATTGGTAATATTGTACATGAGCGAGCTGTGGTTTTTATAGGTTGTCCGGTGGTTTGGGCCTGGCGAAATTCGGGAAGCTTTACAAAAAATGGACCTATTATATCGACAGAAAACAAATTCAACGTTATATTTATTGTACCTTCATTTAGTACTAAAAAAAAAATACCTTTCCAAGCAGACCGCGATAACACCGTAAGTGTCCGTTGCATTTTCAGATTTAAAAGATTTTCGATCGCATTACTTGAGATATATATATATATATATATATGAACGAGTCACGGGATTTGTTGTGTTACGTAATAAGATTATATTAACGATAACGATAATCGTTAATCATGCATGTTTATTCACACGTTAAGAAATATAATTAAGTTAATTAAGTTTGAAAATATAATTGATTTTCATATCCCGGCCGGGTCAGTAAGGCAGGGTTTGTAAATTTTTTTATGTAATATAATCGACTAATAGAAATTCGCTATTTTTATCAGGTGACCAAAGGCACCCGTAACGAGCGTGGATTGCTACTGACACCGCCTTATCGCACCGCAAATGACCAGCACTAACCTTAACGACACCGCATGGCTAGCATTATCGTTAAGGTTAGTGTTAGAATTAGGCAATTTCCAAAATTTTATCCCACTGATCTGCGTGACAAATCGTGTAATAAGTTAGAAGATCAGTATGGTATAGGTAACCTGACCTGTATGGCAGTGTTGTCGTTGGACAGCCTTTGAACATAATCTTGGACATCTTGAACATTTTGAACAAAAAAATAAACTGAATTTACTCAAAATTTTATTAAGATAATCTATTTAAACTTCTTAAGCAAAAATGTTTAGAATTAAAAAAAGAATATAATCATATAATTTTTATGTTAATTACTAAAATATTTAAAGCTATGGACAGCTTGGACACTTTGGATACTTGGATGTTTGGATATTAGACATGTTCAAAAAAGCTTTGGACATGCTAAATGTACAACACTGCTGTAGAGTTGTGTTACAGAAATTACAATTTTACATTTTATGTAATGTTATGTAAGTACTGAAGTAACTTGAATTTTATGTAAATTTTACATGTGATATCATATGCCAACTATGAAAACTTTAGTCAAAATTCTTAAATACTCAAATTTGTTTATTATAATATATAGTTATTAGATGCTTCGCATCCAATAACTGGAGTTATTTAGTATTGTGTAACAATTGCATTATGATTTGTGTGATCACAATTCTATTGTTATACAAAACAAATAACAGAAAGTATTTTTGTAAAATTTGATCAGGAGATGTTTGGGCCTCGCAGAGGTTCAGATATTGACTAGTTAAATTCCACACAAAATACGTCAGTTATTAGTGCAAAGTATTCAATAACAGATTTATCTGATTCTTTATGATGATCAAACATAACATTTTACATATTTAAAAAAATTTATATTAATATTAAAAGGTTTAATTGATTAATAAAGTGATTATGTACTAAAAATAAGTTTAAATTATATAAATATCTAATTTTTTTTTTAATCAAATAATTTTCATACTCTAATTAAAATAGCTGAAGTAAATAATAAAAAAAAGTATTATAAGCTAACAAATGAAGAAATTAATATAATTATTACTAGTACTATTTCAGAAAATACCCAAAAAGCAACTAAGAATAGATTAGAATTTAAGAGAATTAGCAAAGCAAAGTTGGATATTATTATAGAATAGAGATAATTACTAATAAAAAGCAACTTGAATTAGAGATAATTAAATTTATCTTAAGAATCTGCTAAATTAATATACAGAAAGAATATGCATCAGCATCTTTAATTAATTGTATTAATTTGTTAAGTGTATATATATTAAAATATTCTGATAGAACTAAGACATTTAATTTTATGAATAAAAAAGAATTTAGATATTTATAGAATGCCTTAAATAGCAAAATGAAAATGCTCAAAAAAATAGACAAAATTTCTTGTTACTATAATAATTTAACAGATAAAGAATTATATCAAATATTTCATTATAATGCTATTTCTATTAATTTACTTTAAAGATTGTAAGTTAGTACTATATTTTTATATAGTGCTGTTTACTATTCCAACTATGTAGTTATAAATATTATAGATTATACCTATTTCAATTTAATTTTATAGCTAATAAGAGTATAAAATTTACTAAATATTCACAGAAAAATAATCAAGGTAGTGTAGATAGAAACTTAGAAGCTCTTGTAGTTTCTGTATTACTAGATTTTGAAAGTTTTCAAAAGCCTATTTATGATATCAGATATTATATTTTTAAATAGCCTCAAAATTCTAAATATAAATTTTTTCATTTATAGATTAATAAAAAACAAAAAGGTATATTAATTCTTAAAAATTATATTTAATTTTTAATAATAATATAACTAATTAGTAATATCTTTATTATACAAATTCTTCTAATAAATAGTATATTGACATAAAACTCAGAAAAAAAATATGCTATTCACTTATAAAAAATATCTGTACTATAGTTGAAATTGAACTAGAAGGTTATGACATTATAAATTATTCAGATCAATCAACATTTATTACAGTACTTTTTCAGTAAAGAACTTCTATTATTATAATAATGTTAATACAGGCCATAAAAGTAAATCTTTATATAGAATTTATACTTACTTATTTACTAAACAAAAAGAAAATGCATTGTCTCAACTAATTAATAGCATTAAAACTTTGCCTATATCAAATAATTAGATAATTTTTTTTATTTATATTATTTTTAAATTATCTGTTATTAGTTTTTTTTAACTTTTATTTTATAGTTCTCTTAAGAGTCTTTATTAGATTCACTAGCTAAATCATCAACAAAAGGCATATTATTTATAAATAAGTCTTTTTGCTCACTTCTTTTAACAAAAAAGCTTCTATTATATAACAATGTATTTAAACTTAAACCTACTCTTAGTGGTTACTGAATTCTCTATAATAGTAATAAACTAATTCAAGAAACTAATAGTATTATTATTATTACCTTTGCTTTTTTTTTTTTTTTTTAATTTTGACCTGTGGTCAAGGTGAGGTCTTGTTTTTATCTTTATTAATAATTATATAGTTAAGAGTTAACAGTGAACTACTTGGTTATATATTACATGCAAGAATTAAAACTCAGATGACTATAATATTAACTATATTAAAACTAGCTGCAACTACAGTAATCTGTGATCTAAACCTACTAGAATGGTCAAAACTCACCTAGATTAAGTTGGATAGAATTGAATTAGTTGAATAGCCATATTTTACCCAGTAAGCTTCCTATCCAGCTACCTTCCTAATTGCTAGACCCTGTGGCGGACACTAGTTATTATGATGTAGTTGGTCAGCAAGCCCACAAATACAGCTGTATGTAGGTATGAGTTGGTATGTTTGTAGGTTTGTTGTTCTATTTTTTCTAGATTTAGGAGTTTGGAGATGTAGAATTTGAATGTTGTTTGCTTTTTTCCATTGAGCAAATTGGGTGCAGTATGGTTTCTAGATTAGTTCATGTATTTGTGAGTTGAGTTTAAGGAGTAGTTTAATTGTGATTTGTGATACTATTTGTGAAGTATTAACAAAGGGTTTGATAGTATCAATTAATGAGTATGGTATCAGTCCTTTGAGAGTAGAGAGTAAAGAGATAGAATTGTAGGGTTGAGAGGGTAATTGTAGTGAGTGGTGGTTTGTTATAAGGTTGTTAAGAGTGTTAAGTTCGTGTTTTGAAATTTCTAAGTTAGATGAGTTTAGTAGCTATGTGGTTGATTGTTGAATAATTTGGAGGAGAAGAGTTGTGTTGAAGTATGATATCCAGTGTAGTTCATAGTCTGCTTCATTACAAATAAAGTATTTGTTAGCTATAGTGTTAGGATAAAAGGTATGAAGATAGGTTGGAGTAGGAAGTTCATTATGGAAGAGTTTAACTCTAAATATTTTAGATTTGCTTAATGTAAAGTTAGTAAAATTATATGATCTTTTGTTGTTATTGTTGATGTATAGCCATGTTGAGTTCGAGTCGATCTGGTCAGCAACTGGATTCCAGAATTGGTTTCTATTTAGTGATGACCATGTTGCAATAATATGTGCATTGCATATATTTTTAACAAATCTACGTGTTGGTTGTTCTACTAAGAAGTTTTGCCATTTGATGTAATGGTATGGATTGTAGATGTTAGAGTAGTTGAGTATGAGATATTGGAGATGTTTGTAATTTTGTGCTAGTGAGTCAGCTTTGTTATTAAAAGTATCGTTTCTATGTGCTTAGACTTTATTAAGGTTGAGAGTAAGTTAAATAATTTAATAAGGTTTAGTAGTGTATGCCAGATAGGCCAGTTGTTGAAGGAGAGGATATGTGATGGGTTGGAAGGTTTTTGGATTAGCTTTTGATATTTGCTGATAACTGATTGAGAGTCAGTAAATATGTTAATTTTGCAGTTACGTGATGCTATACTAATTGCTGATAGTATAGCTAGGAGTTTTGCTTTGTATAAGGTTGGCCAGTAATTTATTTGTGCTGCAAAGGAATATATAATTGAGTTGTTGTTTGTTTGTATCTAGCTAATACCTATAGAGCATTAGTTGGTCATTAAGTTGTGTACTGAGCCATCTGTATAGAATGTAATTTCTGTGTAGTCTGAGTTTGAGATAGCAATTTGATTTAGTTCCTGAGAGATAGTATTGTTTTGGAATATCTCAAATATTGGAGAGTCAATTATTAGTATAGAGGGTAGTGGTAGGATATATGTTGGATTTCTATTAGCAATTGCATAGACAAGGTCTAAGTAGTTAGCATTTAGTTTTATTGTTGTTGGAGTGCTGCCTATAAGTTTTCTGCCCAGAATTTAGTAGATAGAGTTGCAGATATATTAAAAGTACAGTGGTTTTGAATTCGGTTAGAGTTGAGGTTGCATCCTGCACATAGCCTGCATTCTATTAAGGTTTGTGGATAGTATGTAGTAGTAGAGTAGTCAATATTGTATTACCAGTATGTTATTGAAATTATGTTTGAGTCTTTGAGAAATTGTCTTGCTTTGCCTATTATGATAGAATTCTCTGTATTAGTGATTAACCATGGTTTATATTTTTTGTTAAAATGTGCTATAGTGTAGCTAAAATAGTTATTTGAGTTTAGAGTAGTTAGTTCATTGATAGATCTAGAGATTGGATCAATTATAGTGCTTTCAATAAACTTAAACCATTTAG